TATAAAGCCCTAAACGGTTTAGGACCTCAATACCTGGCAGAACACCTTCTCCCATCAAGATCTACCCGTGTCATTCGTGCGAGCCAGGAGGTGAGGCTGAGGAGCCTGACGCCGAGAGAGGCCCGGAATGAAAAGACTAGAAATCGGGCCTTCTCGGTGGTGGCTCCTCATCTCTGGAACGACTTACCCCCTGAGATTCGCGCGGCTCCCTCGCTGGGTATTTTTAAGAAACAATTAAAAACGTGGATGTTTAGGCAGGCCTTCCCAACAGATAATTCCTGACGATTTTTCCCTACCCTATAGCTCTCCTATCTTAATAATTTTTTTCTTTTCTTTTTCTTTTTGTTATGTAATATGGTTATATGTATTTTATTGTTTTATTCTTATGTTGTTAGCCGCCTAGAGTGGTCCTCACACGACCAGATAGGCGGGATATAAATAAAATAAATAAATAAATAAATAAAATAAATTATAAGGCCCCCATGGCAAGTGATCGTAGCAACACATGTAGTCTGAGATGCAGTAAAGTTTCTTAAAAAGGAAATTCTAAAGGCAAAATAATTCCAACAAGAAAAAAAAAGATGTAAGACAGCACAAAAAGATCAATGTGGCTTTACTAAAAGCTCATAAAGGACCTTAAAACAGCTAATACACTGAAAGACGAAAACAAAATTCATAAAAGATCTGAATAGGCTCAAGCACCGGGATGCAAACAATAGAACGAAATTTAACAGGGGCAAGTGCAAAGTTCTACACCTAGAGGAAGACAACAATAACACACAGTTACGGGTGGGCAATATGTGGCTCAGTAAGATTATGAGTGAGAAGCAACTGTTGATTAAATACAAGGGGGGGGGAATGCAGAGAACTTCCTCAAAGACTCCATCGGACAAGAACTGCTGGATAGCTCAGAGGTTTAGGTCTCTGCCTGCGAAGCCAGAGGTTGGGAGTTTGATTCCCTCCTGTGTCTCCTTGAGAAGGGCTAGACTGGATGATCCATGGGGTCTCTTCCAGCTCGGCAGTTCTAAGGTTATTATTATTAAATAAGCAGGTACCTCCAAATCGCTTATGTTCCTTAGAGTCCTGGAAAAACGAGACGTCTGCTCCTTCCAGCCAAGAGATGAGATCTGGTTTGGGAATACCTTTCAAAGACAAGAGACAGATTCATCACTACAAAGACACAGCTGTTCAAGTCTAGCACTTACAGTAGTATTATCCATTTGTCTCACATTCACATGTCACTTATTAAGCTCTCTCTCAAGAAGGCAGACATTAGAAGCCAGAATACTGTCCCATTATAAACCTGATCATTTATCATTTATTACTTATTATTATTTATTTTTTTAAGTACCACATTTTTCTGTGTATATGACACCCCGAATTGGCCTCCTCAGCCAGACTAGATGCTGTTCCAAGACCTCTATTCAGAGCATGCTACCATAGTCACCTGAGACTGAAGGATGCCTGCAAGATGCCCCATGTATAAGACACCCACCCACTTTTCTAAGCCAAAATTAAGAAATCTTTATTTAAAACATAAAACACACCACATTTTTATTTAGTAATTAGATAACATTTACATACCAGTACTGTCATATTATGCATCACACTTAGCTTTGAACATATCACTTTATTCAGCCTCTGGGCTCAGAATGCTCAGACATTACCAGTCCCTGTTGCATCTGAGCCTACAGGCTCCAACTCCAACGAGTTGTGTTCCAATTGGTTTGTACAGCATCAGCTGATGTGAGTTCTATAAAACTTATGATTGGAGGAAGCTATGCCTCATAACTGTAGGAAGCTAAGCCTCGTGATTGCAGGAAGCCTGTTTATAGAGGCATGGTATGGGCAGTTTTGAAATCACGTGGGTCTCTCCTTTGCTTACTTCCATGTATAAGACAACCTTAAATTTTTAGTCTAAAAATTTTAGACAAAAGTACAGTGGTGCCTCGCAAGACAATGTTAATTCGTTCCGCGAAAATCTCTCTTAAGCGAAAACATCGTCTTGCGAAATGCAGTTCTAAGAATATATTTATGAGATCATATTTTTGTCTTGTCTGGATCACATTTTAGTTTATTTCAATCAAAGGGAAAGTGTCCTCACCCAGAGACGCTACCACCCCATAGTTTGCCAGCATGACCTCCTTGTATAAAACTTTTTGTGCTGGTTCTAAGAGATCCCACTCTCCTTTGGTGAAACAGACAGCTACCTCCTCAAAGGACACCAGCTGCTGGAAAAAGAAAAAAAGAAAAAAAAGCACTTTAACCAGAAAGAATCTCACATACATACACCAGTGCTCCCAGTTCGAAAGGGAAAGGACTAATAGTGTAGATTTGTAAATACTGTTTGTTCCATTTTACTTTGGAGGATTCAGGGCTTTAATTTTAGAAATACAAGAAAACTCACAATCTTCTTACTTGCTTATGTTGGAATGATAAAAGTAAAGAAGATTATTATTCTTTCCAACTGCCACCAGAAAACAAGGGGTGGCACTCAGAAGATCCCCCTTTGTTTACTCATGATTACTCCTTACCCGAAGTGGTTTAATGGCAGCTTTTTCCACTTGACCATAAAGAGGAGATGGTCCAGAGCCTGCCTGTGTTGCCATCAAGTTGCCTGCGTGGGAGAGAAAAGAAGTAACAATTAAGCCGTCTCAGCAATTCCTGCCATTGCTGCTGCCACCACATATGATAAAGGGATGAGAAGCT